GCGTGTGTATCTGCGTGTGTGTATGTGTGTGGTGGTAGTGGGGGCATCACTCTGTCGCATCATATTTTATAGGCAGAAAATTAAAATAATAATAATAATAATAATAATAATTATTATTATTATTGTTGTTGTTGTTTTTATTCTTGTTGTAATCGCCATAGTGGCGAAGTGCAAGTGTACAAATGTTTCACAAACCACTGTAAAAACAACAGCACAAAAGTGCGTGTGAGCAGTGATATTCTACAGCAGTCCAGCCTCATCACACCTCACCTCTTTCAAGTACACAAAATCATTTTCAGCCACTTTCTTTTAAACTAATGATTTATATTAGCGATTAACTCCATAAAACGACCTTATGTTTGCCTTCACACACACACATACACACACACAAACACACACACACACACACACATATATATAGATATATATATACATATATGTTTTTCTCTTTTCGTATTTTTCTAAAGAATATGTCAGGTTCTGCGCAGATCTAAACATCTTGCAAGTGTTGCCAGATAGAAATTCCAACTCAGAAATATATATTTGAAAAAATAAAAATAAAAACGTCGAGGAAGAACACGCGTTGAGCTAAAAACAAAACATAAGGCACAGGCTTGTGTAAATATTACAATCTACATAGTTTTAAGGACAAATGTGATAAATTTCGTACTTAATGTCGAGATCATTTTAAAGAAACGCACTGTTAACGGAGGAAGGAAATAAGCGCAGACTAGGCCTTCTGATAATGCATATTTCAGATCGGGGGATACAGTGAATAGTGGAGAAATCCTTAGAGCTGCTGTCACAGATACTGGGTGTGAGACAGGCGGGACTCGTGGGGTTTTACGCGCTTTAGAGAGGCTCACTGAAACAGAGGGATCCCAAATCAGAGCCATATGACCACTCCAGGCAACAGCTACTCTAGCTGATGGTAAACCGACCCAAACAGAAGACTCGCAGATCCTCGCAGCGCAAAACTTATTTAAATGCCACTTGGTGCTCGCTAAATTTTCAATCGAACGCGAGAAACTTAGAGTTAATTTTCCTTGATGTAAAGAAATACCCCCTAACAACACAACGAGATAAAATATGACAGGTGGAAGCGACATGGAGGGCAAACACACAGATCCAGGACTGTCGCCAGAGGTCAAATCCAAATCCTGCGTCACCCGCAGCCTCTGGGACGCTGCACCATATTTCTGCAAACAATGGCCTGTGTCACACGGGACAGACACAGTTTCAAGTTTGCCTACCGTTTATTCACGAGAATAAAAACAGTAATAATCATCTGGCAGGAACAGTTGAATGCATAAATTTTAAAAAAAGCACCAAGGGAGGACTTAGTAGACAGAGTTTGAAATAACAGAGCATGCACCAGGTTATATTATAAGGCTTTAAATATGCCAAATTAACCACACAACTGGTGATTATTCCAGTGAGAATTAATCAATTCAAATCAATGACAGTGAATAACAACACTGATGGCAATTCAAGAAAAATGATCCATAGCAGATATAATACACAGGTGTAGCTCAATCTAAAGTGAACACAAAGACAGCTTTTGATTTGTCTTTACATATTCAGCAGCTATTCAGGACCTATTTACTACACCCAGTCAGCAGGCTGTGACTCAGACATGTGAGAGAAGTGAAGACAGACAAGGTTGGGATCGTAGGGAATTTTGCATGGAAATCAACTACCCATATCATACCTCTCCACACAACGCCCTACTGATGCAGAGACAGCATCTGTGCTGCATCTAGTTAAGAAACAAAGCCAACAGGCTCATCCAAAACCCCACGCTTTCAAACCTCCAGTACTGTGAAGAAGCCCTCTGGTTGTGTGAAAGCAATTTAAGCTGGTCAAAGCAACTGAGGCAGAATTATGGATGCTTAACCCCTATCAGCTCTCCTAAACCTCGTCTTGGTGGCAGGCAGCCCCACCTATATGCTGTGTGTGGTGAGTTGGAAGGGTTGTGGTCATGTTCTCTAAATACCTCAGCGGAGGTGAGTGTTCCTGAAGCCAATAAAAAGCCGTGATTAATGGTGCTGTTCCTTTTTTTTAGGTGTTAGCTTGTTAAGGGATTTAATAGCAAAGGTGTTTACTTTTTGCAGTGACAGAAAAATTACAGGAGCACAGGGCTAAGACCTTAAACCAGGAGGTCTGCACGAGCGTTATTGTCACCGGTGTCGTGTTACTACTATATATATGCAAATATATATGTATAATAATGCAATGACCATAAAGATGGCTTATAAAAGCAACTCCTCAGAGGAAAATCAACTTCACAAGTTGAACTTTTCAACTTGGACTCGGAGCTGTCACGCAGACAGTCAGAAGCCTTGCATATGGCACAGGGATGATGCTCAGTAATGACACCTGTATCCCTGCTACTAGGAGCACGCATCTCACATGCCCTGCCATCGTGCTAAGATCACTTCTGTATTATGTATTTTAGCGCGTGTGCAGCAATCAACTGACCTCGTTGCTGTGACAGAAATGCCCTTTACCTAATTCAAGCACTTTTATTTTAGTTGTGTGTCTACTGCATATGTGACACTGGAAGTTTTTTTTTTTTTGGGGGGGGGGCAGGAAAGGGCTCTTTTACTTTTTACTGTGTTAAAAGACACACAGGCAGTAACACAAACAGTGACAAGAGAGTGACAGATGTGTTAGCAGCAAGTAGGAACAATGTAGTAACACTTCTAATTCTGTCAGATAAGTAGTTACTAAATCATTTGCAACGCTGTGCATCACTACAACTTTGTGGTGTTATCTGCTTAATCTGATTCCACTTATACAGTTGTTTTGCTGCGTATAAGGGCAAAAAGATATCAACATGAAAAACTGTCTTTGAATTCCAAAAGGTCATACCTTCCCTGTGGTCAAATGAGCGACAGTGATGTGATATTCTGTTTCATAGCTTAGAGGATAAAATGAGTGCCTTGAATCACAGACACATATTAATTCACTTCATGACTGTTTGTAAATTAATCTTGGAATCACCAAGTTAGTCTCTGGCTCATATTAAGCTTGAACGTTACAATTAAAGGAAAGTTCAAGCTTATAATAAATCCTTTTACATTTCAATGACCAGTTTTAAACAACAGAAGTAAATCTTTGCATCTTTGAGTGGTTACTCAGTCCAGTCAACTGATTTCTGTACAATGGGGCTGTGAACTGTTTAAAAATTATTTTTAGATCCCAAAGTAAGCATGGATTGCTTTCCACAATGAAATGTTTAAATGTCACATAGTGTTACATCTCCCTTTTATTTTGTATTTTAAGAGTTCATTTGAATACATTCACTAAAAAAAACATAACCAGCATCTAAAACATGAATCTAAGCAATGTATAAACCCCCACATTTTCTACATATGTACTGCATTTTTCTTTTACAGTTACAGATTAAAATGATTACTCTGTGTATATTTTTTATGTCTATATTTTTATCGACTGATTGCATTTTTTTTTTTTAAATTGTCAACTAAACCATCACATCCTTACACGAGTTCCCTTATTACTGCAAGGCTGATATTAACCCCTAACCCAAGCCAAAAAGGGCGAACGAGTAATGGCAGCTTCGGATTTACTACTGAAGAAGTCACAATAGGCATCTATTGCAAAAGATGCCCCAATACGCTGTGTTTCTCTTAAAGCTATGAGACAATTCCCTGAGCCACACACCGACAAAGCGCACTCACATGCAATACAAAGCACGTAACAAGAATGGTAACCCGTGTCGCCTCTGTTTTCTGATCTTATATTTCGGATATGTTCAAATGCATTTCCTCAGGAAGAAACGGGGAGAGAAAGTGGAAGGTGGTTTTCACATATGCTGTTTAGAATTGTAAATGTATTGCATAGGCCTCGCTGTCCAATTACATATATCTTTCATGTATGAAATCATGCATGTCTTTTTCTCTGAAAGGGGAGGGCTGGCACAAAGGGAGCAACCCCAACAGTAGCAGAACAGTGTGCTGCCCACTTGAAAAATAAGGTCTAGTGTCGGAGCCCTGGAGCTGTGGAGCCCTGGGCAATAGCACAGCTCCATCAGCACACAGACCAGGGAGGGGAGTTGCTTTCCCCCAGACTGGAGCCCTTTCCACTCCTGACTCCTGCTTTATTATTGTTGCCCTATTTGTGAGGCAGCTGACCCTGTGGGTCCTAAATCAGACTTTATAGAAAATACATTTCAGATCACGTCCTTAATTAGGTCCAAGATGATAAATATTGTTTCATGAGCTTTCAAGTGTATCATTTTTGCCAGCACTAAAAATATCATTTAAAGATGCAGGAGAAGAAAAACATTTTCGTGTATTTCTTTTTTTCCCCTTTCCTCATTCTTTTT